AAATTCCTGAAAAAATTATTTCTCTTGACAATGCATTTTACCTTCATTACAATACATTCCTAGCCCAAAGAAACGCAGAACTTGACAACTACTCCGCGGCAGAAAGGAGTTAAGCTGGTTGATAGTTTTCCAAGTCACACACGCCCACCCCACCAAGTGATTCAATGTGAAACCGCTGCAGTATAAGGCCACCTAGATATGGTAGAGCCTGCGCATCGTTGCAACATGGTTAGAACGTCCCACATAAGAGACTAACGACATGGCGCGAGCATGAACGCCCATTCTATGGCCAATCCTGAAGTTGAGAGAAAATTTCCCAAAATAAAACCCCTTCAACATTTTCTCCCGCCACTCAACCCTTGGCACCTAGTAGACGTTTGCCAACCTTGAGTGCAGATAAAGAAGAACCAGTTATACATCATAATAACGCCAAGGTTCATCGAGGGTCAAACTTGGTAAGGACACCACCGTTTAGCTACTAGAAATATAAGGTTGGCTCATAGTTTTCAAGACATCATAATTTTCAAGGCATCACGCTCCTACCGGATTTTTTCCCTAATTTTTTTTTGCTTGCGTAACCAACATGTCTGTCACTCGATCTCTAACATATCGCTAATGCATAGGTTGTTGCTCGATCCCTGCTCTCAGAAGGTCACTGGACGCAGACCCGAAGAGCAATGACAAGACGTCGGTATTGAGCTCTTCTCAGTCAGCATATTACTGTTCCGGGAAGTGAGATAGCGAGTGAGTCAAGTGCTATCATTTAATCGGAGCTTTGGGCTATTCAGCGAAAGCGCTAATGATGTGATCAAGCTGCTAAGGGTAGGGTTGCGCATTGCTCGCAATATTACATAGTTGGAACTTCCGAGGCACCTTCGGACCAAGTTGGATTCCAGTTGTCGGAACACCATTCTCGTTGGGAAGTACGTTGCAGTCGTCGTGGGCTTAGTTAATTTAACAGCCACTTCTTGAGCCACTGTCTGTGGTACAGAAAAGGTCAGATCACGCTTGGAACGACACGATAGGTTAAGTCTATAGAGACAAATCGGCACTATTTACCCTTTACTGCCCCAGCCATCCGAAATCAGGCCAGTTCCTGACCGACTTTTTTCTCCGTGGGCAGAATTTGCTGAAAACTTGGCTCCAGGGGTAGTTCGACCCGCTGAACACGAATATCGCATCCGCTTGACCCGAAACCTCCTGGCGCCCGCGCCACGGGCGCCGGCGCCAAAATACTCGAAATCACCAAATTCGCTGAAAACTTGCTCCCAGGGGTAGTTTGACCCCCTGAACACGAATATCACATCCGCTCAACCCGAAACCTCCTGGCGCCCGCACCACGGGCACCGGCGCCAAAATACCCCAAATCATTGGCGCCTGTGGCGCGGGCGCCAGGAAGTTTCGGGCTGAGCGAATGTGATATTCGTATTCTGGAGGTCAAACTACCCCAGGAGACAACATTTGAGCAAAATCTGCCCACGGAGAAAAAAGTCGGTCAGGAACTGGCCTGATTTCGGATGACTGGGGCAGTAAAGGGTAAATAGTGCCGCCGACAAATCTTTTTCATGTACTAATTGGCTGAACAGCAAAAGCAACAATCATTGGCACTATTCAACTATTACTACCTCAAGAAGTCAAAAAACATTTTTTTTGCTGAAACTTACAGATTTAATTCGGTGTCCTGATCACGAAAATAACACTTGTTTTGGGCGCTGGCGCCGAATTGGTGCTGGCGAAAGTTTGACACCGCCACCTTCCCCAGCAAATTTGGTGTAAAGTTGCATAGTAGGGTTATTTGATGTCCTAATCACGTATAGCGAGTTAGTTTTCAGCCCTGACGCCATTAGGCGCTGATTTGACGACGCCACACCTTTTTATCAAAATCGGTAAAAACCTGCAAAATGGGGTTGTTTGATGCCCTGATCACGAATATGGCACTTAGTTTTCACACCAGCGCCATTTAGCGCGTTTCTAAAACTGAGCCTAGGAGAAAGAGTAATTTTCTGCAGGTCAGGCTCAGCGTTAGCAGGAGCAGATAAGCAGCTCTTCCATTAGCGCCAGCGCCAAAAATGAATGTATTATTTGTAATCGAGGTGTCAGATAACCTCCGTATACAAGTTTTCAGCGGCATTGGTGACCTAGGGTAACTTGGCGCCGGCGCCTGTAACGCGGCGCCAAGCGGTTTCAGGCCGAGCGGATGTGATATTCGTGTTCAGGAGGTCAAACTACCCCTGGGCACAAGTTTTCAGCGGATTTGGTGATCTAGGGTACCTTGGCGCCGGCGCCTGTGGCGCGGGCGCCAGGCACTTTCAGGCAAGTGGATGTGATATTCGTGTTCAGGAGGTCGAATTACCCCTAGAACCCAACTTTCAGCCAAATCTGCCCGTAGAAAAAAGTCGATCAAGATCCGGCCCTGTTTTCGGAAAATTGGGGTAGTAGTAGTTGAATGGTGCCCAATCATTTGCGGGATTTTGAGAAGCAAAAAAGATAAGCGTACCTCTATTGCATGAGTTCGCAATACAGTAGATGGTACTAGTTCAATTCTTTGATGTTTCGGTTCGGGTCCTTTATATTGCACCGCGTAAAGCAGGCGAGATCCGTCCCGGTTGACACCCAGGATAGCTTCTATCTCCTTCCCTTGCTGGAGTTTGTAAACACGATCCGCCGAATCTGGAAACCAAATAAAGACGTTCTGGCCAGAGGTACACATTTCCCATTAATTTGAAACTTTCCGTGTCTATTCGAGGATTATTCCTACAACAAATAGAAAAAAGAAAATCCTTCAAGACTGCATGACTAATTATGAAGGCACCAGCAAAAGCAATCATGCAAGAGAGATCAGTAAATACTAAACGAATCGCTGATCAGTTTGTTTGAAGATGCCATGCCAAATGTGAAATTTCCAAAAACCGCCCCTGAGTTATGGTTCAAGAATATTATTCGGAGGCCAGTAAATGAATGGCGCTGTAATGAGTCAGTATTGCTATTACCAGGACGGTCTCTTCAGTGGTTCAGGAGGTTCAGAAAGTTAACCATCGTATATGAGCAATCGCCGGAAAAAATTGCCTCGACGAGGCAAAATTGCGCGAGCTCAAGCGTATGCTGTTACAGGGCACTGGAGTTTGGGTACGTGAACACTACCGCAAAATGACGGCCTGATGGACGCCGCATGCCCTGACCGACCACATCGGAACAGAACCCTTGAATACCCTTACAAGTTGTTTAAGCGTACCGCACGGTTTTCCTCCACTGAAGAATCACTGAAAGAGCTATAGAAGGGAAAAGGAACTAGGAAAGCAACACATCCAGTGGCTACGACTCACAGCCCAACCGAAGCGAGAGGACTTTATTCTAAGGATCATGCCTTAGTTTCCTGGAACTATCTGTACATGCTGTTCAGAAAACAGCTCAAGTACATACAGGCAATTAATCCCGTGAGAAGCTGTGGGAGCTGCCTGCTGCAGCGTGAAAAGCGTCTCAAAGCTCTAGTGCCATCCTGCCCTTTTTCAAGATGGCGCTCGGGGTCATATTGCAAAAAGGGTGCGCTGCATTTCAGAAGAACCGGGCTGGAGCGACAGACGAATCCACCGTGTGGAGCTGGTACCTTTATAGCTGTACCATTTGTTAGACGCTCAGACCAGAATCTGATGAGTGAAGAAGCTAGGTTCCCACAACTCCAAAAACGACCTCTTCAAACTTTCCGATCGCCAGTTCCACTCATTCTTCAACAAATTCATCCACTCAATGCCTAGCAAATGCCGACCTACATATCACCCCATATATATAATTCGCTTTGTCTGTTTGTTTGTGTTTGTAAGTTTGTAAGTTTGTTTGTCTGTCCGGAAATTCGGTTCGACCTGAAGAACGACTTGGAGAGGTCCAGTCAAGGTGGGGATGGGTAGGGCATGGGACAAGAAATAAAAAGCACACTTGACCTATGGGAAGCCCCGCCCACAGTGGGCGGGGCACTCGCCGAAAGTTTGGGGTTCCGCAGAAAAATGTTCATAATTCGCTTCCGGAGCAGCTTAAAGATGGGGAAAAAGGGACTAAGGTTAGTAAGGAGTCGCCAGACTAACTGTGGCAGGTACACCCTAAATGGGCGGGGCGTACTCAAGGTGCTTCTCGCAAAATTCAGTAACCCGGTTCGCGAGAGTGTTTGGAAGTCGCAAAAACTCAGTGTAGAATGTAAATATCTGGCGAATATAGGGCACGCTCAAAGTGTGTTGAGACCCGCCCACAGTGGGCGGAGCTTGCCCTAAATCGCAGGGTATTCATTTTAAAAGTTTGTAGCTCGGTTCCAGAACACTCCAGACACCGGAAAAAAGTTCAGCAGAGGGTCGTCGGTGAAGATTGTGGGGCAAAAAAATTGTGGGCGGAGCCTGCTCGAGGTGGGCGGAGCCAGACAAAAATTCTCTAGAACGGTTCCAGAACACACCAGACACCGGAAAAAAGTGGATTAAGGTCAGCAGAGGGTCGTCGGTGAGGATTGTGGGGCAAAAACATTGTGGGCGGAGCCAGAAAAAAGGTCTGTAAAACGGTTCCAGAGCACTCCGAAGACCGGAATAAAGTGAATTCAGGTCAGCAAGGGGTCGCCGATTGAGAAATGTGGGGTATACATATTGTGGGCGGGGCCAGCCCGAGGTGGGCGGAGCCAGACGAAAATTCTCTAAAACTGTCCCAGAGCACTTCAAAGACCGGAAAAAACGTGGATTAAGGTCAGCAGAGGGTCGCCGGTGAGGATTGTGGGGCACAAGTGGGCGGGCCTGCTCCGAGGTGGGCGGAGTCAGACGAAGAATCTGTAAAATAGCTCAAGAGTACTTCAGACACCGGAAAAAAGTGGAGTACAGAACAAAAGGCGGATATCAGTTGAGTCTAGAAATATGTGAAAGAAAATACGCGCCGCCCGGCGCAGCCGGGCCGTATCAGAAGGAGGCGCGCCGGCGTTAGCCGGCGAGCCGACTGGTCATATATAACGGATCTTGCCGTTATTATACTGTTGACTAGATTATATTGTCTAAAAGACAATCACTGTCTATCAGAGATAGTGAAGTTAGATTCACAGAAATGTATAAAATCAAATAAGAATTATGAGCAAATATGGTATTTGCGTGCATAGTTATTCAACGAGAAAAAGACAACAATCTCAGTATATTAGCGCTCATGGAAAATATTTTGTATTGCTGAAAAAAACTCACATGATGAAGATTCAGTGCTTGAGTTCACATCCTCCTTGATTTTCTTTGTCTTAAGGAATCGTGAACGAAGGGATCCCTCATCACTATCGTTGGATGCCCCTTGAACGTGACGCAGTTGAACTCGAACCTATCGGAAGCAACGCTAGGCTCACCTCGTTCTGAGAACTCTGACTTAATGCGATCTTTCAAAGACCGTCTCTTCTGAGGAGCACCACTATTTTCTTTTCGGTCGAGCGTTCGGCGTGCTGAAATTCAAAATGGCTTAGGCAGCGTTCATGCTTCGCGACAGCAGTGGCGATCGCCGCGATCGTCGGTACGCGTCAGAGCGCGCCCCAACGCTATTACTTGGACCGCTCGCTTTGATAAATAAGGAAATCCAACTTGTAATACCTTTTTTCTCTTAATAATGGCTACTAGCTGGACTGAAGACTTTCTCTACCTAATAGGATCTGGAATATAAGGGAGGAGATGGCATCATCTCTTATTTAGGCCGGGATAAGCGCACTTCATTTAATAGGTGAGCTTCTCTTTGATTTGTTTTCATTGTTTCAATGTATATAAGTGTCTTGAAACTTCCTACTGGCCAAAGTGTTCAAATTTTTTTTAATTTGAAACTTACATCTGACTCCGTTTTGAGTTGCGGATTTGTCGAGGTCCTTCATCGGTTCCTCGGGAGTTACAACTTTTTCCTGTAAATAAATGAGCACGGTTTCCTCGATTTTCAACAGTCAAAAAATCATAGTGTTCGCCTAACTTCTGCACACTAAAGAAGACCCAGTTCTTAAAAACGCAGGTAGTACGGGAAGAAAGCCCTGAGTACTAACAGATATAGATGCTTACCTTCTTTGACGCCGATTCTCCGTGATTTGATGTGGCCGTAATAGTTCGACGCCTACTTTTTTTCGGCTAAACACCATAGTTTCAAAAGATGGAAAATAGTCAAGATATTCGATGTCTTACCACATCCAGACCTCTTGTTTCCGATAGGGTGGTTCTTCTAGCGCCTTTCGACTGTTTCGGACTCTGCAAAAGCGATGTGCAGATACAAAAGCATATATAGTGCAAAACTGCATATTCCGGAATGTAGCTGACATTCCAGGGATCTAGTGGATGGTATGCATAAAATTCAGTCGAGGAAAATAAGCTGCTAGCGAACTACGACCCAGAAGTTCTCTGCGCTCCCGCCTGGTTACAAGGAAGGACGACTTTAGCTTTACGTGATGACGGAAGCACACTTTAGGCATGCTACACATTGAGTTTTCCAAATAGCCCATACCATGTGGTCACAGGCGGTCCTCCTTTCACCCCTCCTCTCCCCTCCGCCTCCCCAACCCTCAGCGCAACGCACGGCTCGCAATACGCAATAATATGAAACAAGAAAAATATCAGGTTCTTCCATAACGGGGAACTCTAGTACGAGAACCTCTGCTCATATGGAATGCTTGATTTCGGGAACATCGATCGATTTACGTTAAAGTTGACATTTATTGGAACGTTCCAGACAAACTCATTTTACCGGTCACTGAATGTTGAGCCAAGCTATTACATCCCAGCATAATCAAGTAACAACGACAATATCACAAGAGTAGCGACAAGCTTTGAAGGTTCAGCTATTTGAAAAAGCCTTAGCCTGGAGCGTTGGAAAAAGCTCAGAAACTTCTATTCAACGAAATTACGAAGCATAGCTCGGAACGTTGGAAAAAGCTCAGCGGAACTTCCATTTAACGAAATTAAAAAGCAACTAACAATTTCCTGCTCTCCAATCATGATGGTACTGTCATCCTTTCCACCGCGGGCCCTGAATAAAAAGTTCATCAAACGAGTATACACAATATAAAACCTATCGTGTTAACTTAACATAAAACCAGAATTATTAAAAACATGAAGAGAGATTAAACATACTCGTCCTACCTACTAGGTTTACTCTTGAGGAACTCCGCTATCGCATCCGGGCAGTCCTGAAACACACTCTTGAACGCCGAAAAAGTTCATGAGAGAATAACACATAAGGAGACGTAGGTAAAGGGGACGTGCGCAGCGAATCTTCGTCAGGGGTAATTGAGAGGCAAGTTGAGCGTTACCGTATGGTAAGAAATCTTCTTCTGTTCTCAAAAATCAGCTATTAAGGCACAGCCCAAAATGCCAAAAGATATCGCACATGAGCAACGTATTGCCCAATTTCCTACGAACTCCCACAATAAGATATTTATTACTCGAGTTTCACTTAAAGGAGCGTTAAAGCAGCTTGTGAGCAATAATGCATAAGCACCCGAGGGTCCAGGAGTATTTTCACGAGGCATCTACCAGTCCAGTAGTTGGAGGGAGAAGGTAAAGGAGGAGGGATCAGAGAAGGAAGGAAGGAAGGAAGGAATGAGGAAAAAAATGAAAGAGAGGAGAGGCTTCCCGGTTGACAAGTGCCCTGACGATAAGCACTCACACAATCACACTCGGCTTCCCACGTGGCATCTTCCTCAGGGTAGCCTTCCCACTTGATCAAGTATTCACGACGTCCAGCTCTTCGTCTAGTAGCCAAGATCTTTTCCACTGTATACGACTCATCGGCTTCGGCTGAAATGGCTTAGACTCTCAAATTAGAAAGGAAAAAAATCAACTGCCGATCTGCTGCTTACAGCATCATCAGGCCATGATTACCATGCGCCCTTCCATGCGCAAAGCGTCACCATTCAAGACTGATTGCAGAAGTGTTCCTTTGACAGAGTCATTCCAAACGTATTGAAATAGGAAAAAAATGGCAGACAGCTACCATCAACAATTTTTGGGCGAGCTCCGCCTATGAGTCAATTTCAAACCTTTCTTTCATCATGTCTGACCATAATGAATAGGCAACGCTACGCGACTTCTAAGGAACGGTAAAGAAAACAGGAGCGGAAGGTAACGATAAATGATGACCCCAAATGCAAATCATGTCAAAGGAAGTTGATCTCCTTGGGGACTATGGAATTCCAATGACTGTCTGGAACGCTAGGGAAAAGAAGCAAAGGCAAGCTGAGGGACGCAACGCGACGGCGCGATTATGCCAACTCAGGTCTACTTGCCTGCGTCCTCTTACCGGATAGCAATGTGGCGTTTTCACCGAATAGAAATGGTCGCTTCGCAAAAGGGCCAGTTATCTTGTACATAAACAAGAAACTGCAAGAACGTGATCTCCTATAACTTAACACTAACGGCGACCACAAGCGATGCTTTGCTACTACAAAATGCAGGTCATTCTATTGTTTTCAAGTTGTTCAAATTTGCGAACCCTTCCGAGCGGTCTTCACAGATATTTTCTCCCCTAAGGAAGAGAATATCAGAGGGATAATCTCGCAGAGAAGAAATGGCCTCTATCAAACGTAGGCCTTGATTGAAGGGGTGGTGAGTGTTTCCCTTTCCCCACACTACGCTAGCACCTAATATCGTGATTAATGACTTCATTTTTTGGCAGTATTGAACTATTCCTATGCCAGTCTGCCGAAATCAAGACGGTTTTACCGACTTTTCCTCCAAAAGGGCAACTTTGGCTGAAAATTCGCTTTTGAGGTACTTCGACCTCCTGAACACAAATATCACATCCGCTCCGCCCGAAACCCCCTGGAGCCCGCCCGCGCCACAGGGCGCGGGCGCCAAAATACACTAGACCACCAAATTCGCTGAAAACTTGTCCCAAGGGGTAGTAGCAGCCCCTGAACATGAATATCACATCCCCCTGGCCAAAACCGTCGATGGAACTTGTACACGGGGGTTATTTGACATCCTGATTACGAATATGACATTTATTCTTGGCGCCGGCGCTAACGTAGGACACTATGGTCATCTGCGCTTTGCTAAGACTGAGCCTGGCCTGAAGGTAATCACTCCTTTCCCCACAGATACTCAAGATCAGGGCATCAAACAACCCTATTAGGTATTAATCACAGTCCGCGAACCTGCGTTTCTCTCAAAAGGAACGCTTCGGCGAAAAGCTTTTACGTATCGACTGGCGGTTGGGCGAAGAGTCTGGCGGTTGGGCGAAAGGGTTTTGATACGAATCGACGGGCGTTTCGCCGAACCGCGGCGTTTTTCGCCTTCGCAAAATCTAGCTCAACCGCCCTGGCATTTTCGCCAACGAAATCGATACGCATCTATCGCTTTTCGCCTCACCGCCAAACCGCGACGGTTTCGCCCAACTTTCGTCAGGCTCGCAGACCGTGAACAATGCCTTACACAAGTTTTAAATAGTGCCCTTTTTTTATAGATAACAAGACACGCTAACGAACTAAGCAGATTTCGAATGAATGAGCAGAGCAATAAAAATTCATCAAAACACTGAAATTAATCGCTCACCGCCATTGCTAAATTCCTCCTTAGTATCAACTTCAACTTGCTTGCCTTTCGGCGACATTTCAGTAAAGCAGTGATCTAAAATAGACAACATTATCTTAACAAATTAAATACAAGCTCAGTTCGTTGGGACAGTCAATCGAACATAAGAACGAATATTAAGCGAGCACAGGCACGGACAAAGAGCAATCCAAGGAGAGTTTGATACTCAACTTTAAAACAGTACTTTCGCCTAATCCTGGTCCCGGAGAAAATGGCGGGTGATTCTCTAAGGCCGCGTTCATAGCTTGCGTTCGTGAAGAAATGCAGAAATGCGGAAAATGCAGAAGTGCGGAAAGTGCAGAAGTGCGGAATCTGCAGAAAAGCAATAGATACTTATCGACTTGAAGAAATGCAGAAATGCCGAAACTGCAGAAGTGCGGAAAGTGCAGAAATGACGAAAAGCATTACATACGTATCGATTTGAAGAAATGCAGAAATGCCGAAAGTGAAGAAGTAATGCCGAAA